TTGGATCTGCCAGGTCATATGTGCTTAGTGGCAGAGCACTTCATCATGGACCAGCTCTGCAGTGATTCTTGCTCTGGGCCCTTCCCATATTTTCTCATTGCCTGAAGTGGGTTGAAGCAGATAAAGAGTCTAAAGCCCATGCAGTTTATGTTCAGAATCCCAGATATATCAGCCAAATGTTTTGCCTCTTAGCAGGTGTGAGGTGTAGCAATAATTATTCATTTTCTTTTTTGTTTGCTCATTGTTACAATTTTGAGTCAGTAATTAGTATTTACAGAATTAAATTGAAAAGATACAAAAAGTGTCTGGTAAAACCCAAGTTTCTTTTCTGCACCTGTCATCCAGCTACCCAGGTCTTCACATTGAAGGCAACCACCGGTACTAGTCTGTTGTTTATCATTATTTTAAAGGGCATATCCTGACTTGGCATGGACTATTGGATCACAGGAAACTTCCTGAAATGGCAGGCCCTGTATGTTTATGGGATTTATATCCCACCATCTGGAATACATACAAGGAACCTGGGTCTCCTTAGTTTTTTCTAGGTTCTGTCAGCAGCTAACTTCACTATGGTAGACCAGTGTAATACACTGTGTCCTGAGTTGATACCTCCAAGAGAGGTAAAAGTGAACTGCTTTCTCATGTCTTCTGGTTATCCCTATGGAGAAGTACATTTACTACCAGCTTCATAACTACATTCTAGGTGACTAGGGTGGTTTTTTAAATTGATCCAGTTGGGAACCACATCTAAAAGTGCTGTTTGAGCTGGAGTCACCATTTGAGTATGTTTATGATAAGCCTAGTATCATTGACTAAGACTCAATGGCTCCTTGGTTGGAGAGATGGGGTTTTGTGCAAATCACCAGACATTGTTTTTTGATAATCCAGTGGCTTTCACTTGGCTTCACTTACTACTAGAAGAGTATAATGAGGTAGGGGCCCTGATCATAGGCAATACCTCATTGATCTATATTACCTTCTTGTTCCATGGACTTCTGGTTTCTAATACCCTAATATGAACAGAAGTTTCCTGTCATTTTCCATGATTTGGTTCAGTAACCAGTTGTAACTTCTCTTTTCTTCAAAAGTGTGTTGCCTGCAGCCCATTATCTCATTTGTATTAGATATTGTATAAGTATATATTAGACTATATCAGTTTGTGAGGGTTTTTTTTAAACCACAGAAGTCAATAATGGTTAATTTAAAGAAAAATAAAAAAGGATTTTGTGGAAAGCCCTTGCTAGAACAGAATTAAAGAGAGAGCTGAAGGGTGCCTGGCTGGTTCGGTTGGTGGAGCAGCTGACTCTTGATCTAGGGGTCATGAGTTGGAGCCCTCTGATAGGTGTGGAGATTACCTAAAAATAAAATCTCAAAAAAAAAAAAAAAAAAGAGAGAGAGAGAGCTTAAAACTGTACCTTGTTATGGACATGATGTAGGGTAGCCTTAGGGATCTGGACTAAGAGTCTTTGGAATGACTTAGTTCTATTGTTATGTCCATCTACTCAAGACTCATATTCCCAGCATAGAGTCTGGTTTGCCTAACTTGAATCACCACCTCACCTCTTGGCTGATGCCACAAGGTGCCTTGATTAATAGACTCACCAAGACTTGCAAAATGGAGAAGAGGTCCTTTCCTCAAAGGAAAGAAGGGAGGAGGAATATACAACCAGCCAATCAACAGATGCCCATTCCAGAGTGTTCAGATTAATTAGGTCAGCGCCAGTAGGGGTGTCATTGGCCTTTGGGGGAAGACGATTTTTCTTTGTGAGTCACTGTCCCAGTGCATTTCAGTATGTTCAGCATCCCTGGCTTCTGGGCACTAAATGCCAGCAGCACCCCCACTGATAGCCATCACAATCAGGGCATCACTTGTTTTCCAGCCATACCATCTGTCCCCTAGACAGGCTGTGGAACAGCCCATCAGGACCCCTGCACTGCATGATCCCTAAAACTGTTTGCATTTAAAACAATCTGATGCATCCCCATTGCTAAGCAAAATGCTGTTTGTAATTTGGCTATAGTAAAATAATTCCTATCACTTCTACCAAAAAGGTCTTCAGTTTAGTGTCCCCAAATATCTAAACAGACCTGCATATAGAATTGTATGAAATATATAAGAATTAATTTGTTTCTTCAGTTTATTTAAGGGCACAGACTTTAGAGCTGGATTTTCTGAATTCATATCCTACACCCTATAGCTCTGCTATTTACTAGCAGTTACTTCCTTTGGGCTTTTACGTCATCTTACTTTGGCCAATTACATAATCTCTCTATGCCTCTGTAAACTGAGGATAATAGTACCCATTTCATAGGGTTGCTATGAGGATTAACATAGCTATTGTGCATAAAGCATTTAATATATTGTCAAGAGCATAGTAAGTGTATGTATAAGCTATTACTATATTTATAAAATGGAATATTAGTAATTAAGTTTCCCATAGATATGCCTTTAAAAATTTTTTTCTGGGGAATTTACTTTTACTTTGAAAAAGTAAATTGCTTTATCTGGAATAGCATTTTGTTATTTTGTTATAGCAGTTTAGAACTATACTTTGAAAAATATCAGTTAATTATTCATTCCTTTATTCAATATTTATTGTTTGCCAGGCTTGTATTAAATCTTTTTTTTAATGTTTGTTTATTTTTGAGACAGAGAGAGACAGAGTGTCAGCAGGGGAGGGGCAGAGAGAGAGGGAAACACAGAATCTGAAACAGACTCCAGACTCTGAGCTATCAGCACAGAGCCTGATGCAGGACTTGAACCCATGAACTGCTAGATCATGACCTGAGCTGAAGTCAGTCATTTAACTGACTGAGCCACCAGAAGCCCCTAAATCTTTTTTTTTTTTTTAAAGAAAGTTTATTTATTTTGAGAGGGGTTGGGGGGAGAGGGGATCCCAGTCAGACTCTGAGCTGGATGTGGGGCTTGAACTTACAAACTGTGAGATCATGACCAGAGCTGAAACTAAGAGTTGGATGCTTAATTAACTGGGCCACCCAGGTGTCCCAGGACTGTTAAATTCTAAGAGACAGGGAATTTATATATTGGTGGAGAAAGCAGTAACTAAGTGAGCAAGCAAATGTCCAGGGTAATTACTGATGTGTTAAGAGCTGTGAAGGAATCAGCAGAAAACCCTGGAAGCAAGGAAAGGTTCCCTGTGTTGGTAGAACAGAGGAGAGGCCTCGACTGAACAGCGGGCAGCAGAGGAGAGGCAACGTGGGAGATGCGAGAAGTGTGCCAGAGCCATGTTTTTCCAGGACTTCAGAGACTCCAATAAGGAGCTCGGGTCTTTTCTACAGGGAGTTGGGATTTCTTTCCAAGGAGCTATTGAAGTTGGGGTGGGAAGGTTTTAAGCAGGAACTTGCTGACTCTGATTTCCTTTTAGGAAAGTCGTTTTTGTTGACTGTAGACAGTAAATTACAGAGGGCCAGGTGAGACCAGATAGAAGCCTCTAGGGAAGAAATGGATGGCATGGCAGCAGTGGAGCTGGGAAGAAGTGGATGAAGCATGAGTGAGATCACATATTTATTTCGGAGGTAGAATTGACAGGTGTTAGTGATGGCTTGGATCAGGAGGTCAGTGAGAGAAAGGGAGGAATCAGGGAGATTTGTGGCTATTAAGTGCCTAGATTTGTGGCTGTTAAGTGCCATTTGTCACTATCGCTAAACCTTTTTTTGCTTCATGGTCTTTTATAAGACTAAATTTTTAGTACCATTTAGTACAGTTTTTAATACCTGGTCTCAAGTTTTTTTGCACTGCAACCAAATTTTATGATCTCCTTAAATATTTTTGTTTTCTTATTTAGTAATGAAACTCCCTTTGTGGATGTTTTTGGCACTTAATTGGGACCATTTTATCTGTTATTTATTGCTGCTGAGAATTTGAACTCACCATTTCCAAAGCTGTCATTTGAAGTCGTATAACTGAGTATTACCCCTGCCCCCCAAAAGTAGGAGAGCTTGTAAAAGCCTGCACCTGATGAGAAGCAGCTCTCACTTCTCTACCAGGTGTGCCTTATGGGTGAGGATGGCAAGGGACTGGGATGGTAGTGGGCTGAGGATGGCGAGGGGCTGGGATAGTGGCGGGCTGAGGATGGCGAGGAGGGGTATGGGGTAGTGGTGGGCTGAGGATGGCAAGGGGCTGGGCTGGTGGTGGACTGAAGATGGCGAGGGGTTGGGGTGGTGATGGGGCACCTATGGTTTATTTACCTAGCTCTGTCTGAGGCATCTGCTCACTTTGCAATTATACACTTTTTAACATGTACTTCCGGTGTGATAGGTCAAGTTTATGAGCTATTTTCTGTAACTTAGGACTAGTACACCTCCTTAATAATTGCAGTTTTTCATATTTCACTAAAATATTTCTTCTTGTGAAAGAATTGAGATCAAGTGTATACACTAGCCTTTAATTAGATTGTTCAAATTGATACATGTGGAATGAAAAATTTTACTCTTTTCTAAACAGTGAAGAAAAACTAGGAAGAAATTTCAGTGGACAGTAATGCAAAGAGATTTTCTTAAACACCAGAATGAGAAACCAGAAATGCATATAAAACATGGGAACTTCAAAAACATTTTTTAGACACAGACTATTATTAAACACTTATGGATGTTTTTGACTTCCCATTACATTAAAATACCCAAATGAACTTCATGTTCAGAACATTTAAAAATAGCTCAATCTTGAAAAGAAGATATAAAGTATTATCAGCTGTGCTTTTTGTGCATAATTAGCATGTGTCTGTGAAAGTATAATGACTTCTAGTGTAATATTACTCATAAAAAATTCAGATGGTAAAAATTGGAGCTACAGCTGGGTGACATATTTTAAAATAATTCAAGGATGACTCCATAGAAAGCATGCTACTTTAATTCCTTGTACTCCTCCTTTCACTCGCCAGTGGAACATGAAGTCACCAATAAAAATCCCTTAAATACTGTTTCTTTTTCCCCCTTTCTTATAGATTTGATGTGTGCTCACTGTTTCCTTCAGTGCTTGATGCGCTACTGTGAAGATACATCACCTTTTCCGTTTTTCCAAGATGGCTCAAGATATAGTAGGCTTTTCTTCTGATTATCAGTTTTGGATGCAGAAACTTTCTGTGTGGCACCAGGCCTCCACTTTGGAAACCCAGCAAGACACCTGCCTTCATCTACATCGATTTCAGGAATTCCTGAGGCAGATGTATGAAGTCTTGAAAGAGATGGTAGGTAGTAGACCAAAATAATGAATCTCTGCTACATTTCACCAAGCCTGAATGTGCCTGGGGTCAGGGACTTGTGGTGTTGACCCAATGGATTAGAAAGACAGATTACCCGTAGGTAATACAGATAGGGCGGTTTCCTTGTGTCTGATTTCTTATAACTTCAGTCTTGTCTTCTTGACTAATTACCTTGTCACATGAGGCTTCCTGACCAGTAAAGTGTTTTGTTTTGTTTTTTTAAAAGAAAAGAAGACTGACAATTGTTGTCAGGTAATAATTGGGATTCTTTTAAAGGCCTTTGCATCTATGAAATATTGAAGAGTTTTCTGAAATGCTTCTTTATGCTGTTCTTTAATGCTGTCGTAGAGTAGGTTCTACTAAGAGATAATAACTATTAAGATCTCTTCTTATGAGTATTTTAAGTGGTATTTTCTGGTGAATATTAAGATTTTGAGTGTTTCCACTATTGTTGTATAGTGTTCAGAATTTGATACATTTTCATTTTGACATGATTTCTCATTTTTACTGCAGTGGATATTATTATGAATTAACATGCTTTCATATTATGACATTATTATTTGTTTATACTTACTTTCTAATTTCAAAATGAAAAGCAAAATTGTCATTTAATGTAGGTGTTCTTGTGTTACATTTTTCTTCTCTTAATCTAAGAAGCAACTCAAAAATTTGAAGAATTATTCATGTTGATGATACGAGTTCATGTCTTTAAAGGCAACTAGAAGAAAAGATATAGTCTGTATGATCAACCAATGCTAACTTTTAAAATTGTTTCTCTATAATTTGCTTCTGCAGCTTGGCTTTAAATTGGTCCCAGAAAGCCTAGGGCTGGCCTTGATGCTAAGACAAATGTGAAGAATTTATTGGTACAGCAGCTTACATTTCAGCTTATGTACATGTTACCTCATTTAGGTCTTATTTTTGAACTTTCTTGAGAGGTAAAGAAGTGGGAAGAGGGCCAGTTGTACAAAAACATGTACATATTTTAATCTTAAGCTGTTTTCTATTTGGTTGATCTTTTGTGTCTCAGGTTTTAGGTTGTTGTAGATTAAGTATGATGTCATTTAGCATGTAGTAACTGAAATAGTAATGAACAGAGATATATATCTTTATGCCTTGGCTGCTTTTATTTCTTTTTACAAGCTCCAGAGTTCTTGTTCTCCCAAACCTTCTTTGAAATAGCCCTAGTGAAGCTGAGTTAGGAATCTCTCTTGTGTTAGAGTAAAAAACCAGGATGAAAACATGTTATTATAGAGCTTTTAATTGCCCACAATATTTTGTTGACTATTATGCAGTCTTTGTTATTTTTAAGCAAATTGACCTTTTCTAAGTGTGAGTAAAATAAAGTTAATTTTGTAACAAGATTTTACATAAATGTGCTGTACATCTTAGTTTGGGTGATGTGGTTTAAGGATGAAGTAAGGTGGACAGTACTTTTAAATGAAGTACTTGTTAAATTTTATTTGAATTTCCTACTTTTCTGAAATACTTACTAAACAGTCAAACTCCCTCAACCTGTAGTGTCAGTTCACCCTTTTTATGTTGCATAATGTCTTTTTATTGACCAAAACATAATTTTCTTTTACAGGATTCAACTATGATCATTGAAAGATTTCCCACAATAGGTCAACTGTTGGCAAAAATTTGTTGGAATCCTTTTATTTTAGCATTTGGTAAGAATCCAAAGCCTGTCCTCTCAAAATATAGACTTCTCATGATAATTTTAATCTTTGTATTGCTTAACAAAATGCAAAGTTTCCAATTATAAATTTTCTCCTATTTTTTATGTAACAGCTATTCAAATGTATTCATTGTTCCATTAGACAGATAGCATCCTTTTCTTGTCCTTATGTTTGTATAGATAATCACACACACACACACACAGATCTGTAAGAAAATAGAACTCCTTGCATTATAAAGTAGACTCTTTGAGATGATTAACATAACTTCATTTTTAATTCAGTATAAAATGGTTATAATAATGAAATAATTTCTTGTTTCACAATTTCACATTAACTTGCACACTACCGTTTTCCATGTGTAAAATCATTCTTTAGTATCTGAATCCTCCCATGGCCCTGACATTTTTTTAGGGGTGACATTTTAGTTTTAGCTAAGGTGAAGAGGAATTTGAGGACACATTGGGGGAGCTATTCCTTCCCTGAACTCCTGTCTACTTGTCCAGCCTCATTTCCTGTATAATCCTCTGCAACCACACCACACACATGGTAGCCAGGTCAAGTTACTAACCATGCCTTGAAAGCACATGATGTCATGGCCTGAGACATGTGATTCCTTTGTTTAGAGCTCTGTTCTCATCTCCTGTCCTCTTAAACTTTCTTTGAAATAGTTTTGCTTCAGGCTGCTTTAGGAACCTCTTTTAGTGTCTTCATAGCTGATAGCATTCCCCGTAATCATAAGACTTACTACACTGTTTTGTAATTATTGGTTTGCCTGTCTGATGTTCTGGAAGACTGAATGCCTCTCAAAAGCAGGAACTGTGGTTTTAGTTCTTTTTGTAATTCTAGGGCCTAGAATAGGGTGGAGCAGGCACATCTGAAGGTGTATAGTTTACTGCTTTGACTTGGCTCTATTTGTAGCTAGTTTAGTATTTACTTTAAAGTCAAAGGCTACTTGCATAATATAATGATATTAGAATAAAAACTAAAATCAGTATTACTCTGTGATATCTTAAAGAATTGTACAGTTTCTCTTTCCTACCTTGTCGTAAATAATTACAAGAAACATGAACTCAGTGGGGAAGAGACAGGGCTGCAGTCATTCCCGGGAGCATACTACATGGGTGCACCACACACATAAACTCACTCTCTCTGCCTCTGCCCCAACCCTCATCTGTTTCTCTTCCTCTCAACTTATGCCTCTTGCTCCTCTTCCCCTTTGAGTTGACTCTTTGTCTCCTGTCCTTCCCCAGCTTGTTGAAGTTCTTGATCTAAACGGGCAAAGCCATCACTGTATTTGCCCACCAGGGCCATACTTACCTGCCCTAAGGTCATATATTTCAGCATGATCAGTGTTTCTCAAATAACTTTGACCAGAACTACATTTTCTGTACATGTTTATATGTATATATGCATACATACAAACAGACAGATGTGTACACACATTTCATGAAAGAATGTTTGTTTTGATTTTGTGCAGTCATATCCACTATCCTATTTTAAAAATGGTCTTTTTAAGACCAAATTATTTTTACCCCCAGATAGGTCCTGACCAAAAATTTGAAAAACACTGAGCTAGGCCAAGGATACTGATGGAATGGGAGGCATTGCTGATGTTATTCTGGGCACTGTTCTCTGTGGATTGCAGAGTGGATCTGAGTCCTTGATAGTTTTGTGTATTTATTTTGAGAGAAACAGGGCATGAGCTGGGGAGGGGCAGAGAGAGAGAGAGAGAGAGAGAGAGAGAGAGAATTCCAAGCAGAGTCAGCGCAGAGCTGGATGTGGGGCTTGAACTCAGGAAACCATGAGATCATGACCTGAACTGAAATCAGGAGTCAGATGCTTAACCGACTTAGCCACCCGAGTTCCCTGAGCCCTTGATAGTTTTGCAGGATAGGTAATTATGGTAATTGTAGTAAATCACTTTCCCCATAATGTAAAATTGATAAAAGCCAGGATCCCATGCCTCTAAAGCCTGCATTGTCGTAATGATCTGGCCTGTGGATCACACCATTGTGGTTGAAGTAGTCTAGTTCTGGCTTTAACACTAGCTAGCTTCATGTGAATGTATATTTTCACTGGGCAGATATTTGCTAAGCTTTTTTTCTTTACTTTTCTTTTCTTTTTTTCCTCTTAATATGCCAGGCCTAAGAAAACATGGCTCGTAATTCTGTCTACCCGAAGCATTCAGTCAAAGAGAAAAGAGACAGCCTGACTCAGCCATGGCTTGTGTTGTGGAGCTGTGAACAAAGAGCTAAGAGAGAAAGGAGTTTGAGTTGGGGCCAACTCTTAAGGGACAGTAGATGAGATGGGATTTTCTGAGAAAAGCCGTCAGACTTGCTAGGTTCCAGATTTCTTATTTGTAAAAATGAGAAGGCTAGACTGATTTATCCCTATGGCCTTAAACTTGTATGTGTCTGTGGTCTTTCCTTAGCACCTATCCGCATTACATTGGGCCCCTCTGACAACCAGAAACAAATTCTCCATCTCTTTTTGTTTCAAAGTTTGTGTTACGTTTCGAAGTTTCAGCTTCCAATTTGAGGTGTGCCTTTGGTTCTGAGCTTAGTGGCAACTGAAAGGCAACAGAACTCCATGATGAATCAAATCTTGCCCATGTTGCTACTATTGTTTTGCTAGTTGGGCATTGTCCAGGAAACATCTTTTCTTATGGCTTTATAATATCAAAATCACTTTTTAAATACAGGAAATGTGACAGTTTCTATCAAAGAAAGAAGTAAACCTCTGGTAGTGTTAAATGAGAATTGGATCAGAGATAGGACAATATTAGGAAGGAGGAAGGATTTGGAAATGAAGAGACCACAAAGAAAAGAGAAAAAACATAATAGAAAGGGAGGGGACACCTTTTATTCATGAGTGTTCTCTGCATAAACTTACGGATTTCACCTTCTTGGAATTCTGGCTCATATTTCTAATTCTTCCCTCGTGATTGAGCATGTAACAGCTGTAACATCGCTATTTCCTTTTTATTGCTATGTAACAGTTTTCACCCAAGCTTGTCAGCTTAAAATAATAAGTATTTATGGTCTTAAAAATGCTACCTTCTCACTTTTGATGTTTTTTTTTTTTTTAATTTATTTCTGAGAGAGAGAGAGAGACAGCATGAGCAGGGGAGGGTCAGAAAGAGAGGGAGACACAGAATCTGAAACAGGCTCCAGGCTCTGAGCTAGCTGTCATCACAGAGCCTGAAGCAGGGCTTGAACCCACGAACTGTGAGATCATGACCTGAGCTGAAGTCGGATGCTTAACCGACTGAGCCACCCAGGCGCCCCTATTTTCTCACTTTTAAATTACAGATTTAAAGTTTACAGAATTAATTTGGCTTTCATTTGGAATTTTAGTTCACGATGTCAAAAAATAGGGGTGCTTGGGTGGCTCAGTTGGGTTAAACATCCAACTCTCTGTTTCGGCTCAGGTCGTGATCAGGTCTTGGTTTTGTGAGTTCGAGCCCTGCATGGGCTCTCTGCTGACAGCACGGAGCCTACTTGGAATTCTCCCTCTGCCCCTCCTCTGCTCATGCTGTCTCTGTCTCTCTCAAAATAAATAAACACAATTAAATAAAATAAAATATTAGGTGGCAAATGTATGTTGGTATATTGTTTTCCCTTCCGCTCATTTTAGAATCCAGATTTGTACGAAGATCTGCTGTCAGTGACTGCTTGCATGATGAAACCCAGGCATTTTCCTATTTCATTTAACTGCCCTGCAGGATGTCCACTGGATCTAAGGGCCTCGGGGGAGGAGCCTGACAGATGCCTTCTCCCCTGTCACGAATGTTGGAGGTGTTCAGGAATAACAAGTGATGGCTTGCATCTGTAAATCCCTAAAGCAAAGTAAACTCATTAGCAGTACATTTCAGTGAATGTCAGTACTTTGACTCTGAGCAAAGTAAGGCACCTCCTAAAGATCTAGTGAACATTTCTCTGGCTGCTCTCTTTCTCTCTCTTTTTTGTTTTTGTGTTTGTTGTTGTGTTTTTGCTTTTCTGAGAGAAAAATTTTAAAATGATATATTTGTTGAACTAAATATACACACTCAACACTTAAGGAAATTTCCATTTTTTAGATTCTGTTACATTTAAGTTCCATCAAATAACATTTTCTTTCTTTGTTTCCTCCTCCTCCTTTCCTTCCTTCACCTTTTTGGAGAAGTGTCTACACTCTTTTTGAGTGTCTACTTTTTGGAAATGCTGTGCATTTTCTCTAAGAGGGGAAAGCCTTATATAATAAGCATATCTGGGATGTGTCTGACACCATGTGACATGAAGATAATTAGAATTTCTTCTAATACTTAAAACATTGTAGGTACAACTGTCATAATTTTAATCAGTGACATTGGTTCAACCTCAAGAATCCTAGGACCTTCAGAAATTAAATTACATGATGTGTGAAATAAACCTAAAATAGGCAAGCCGGTGATGTATTTGAGCTCATAAAATCTAGGGGGGAAGAAGCAGTGTCCTTCAGAATAAAGACTGATAAAGTTTGTTCAGAGGTATTACCAGGAGAGCATAAGCCTACAATGTTTATGGGGAAAAAATGGGTTTAAAAATTACTATTAATGTCTTTTGGTGTGTGGTTGAAAGTGCAGAGGTAGCTTGCTGTAGTTTGTATTTTCCTTATTTCTTGTTAATATAGCCTTTAGAAATCCTGTGTTTATGAGATTGCAGAAGATAAGAATGTCAAGGGTGGTGGGTGATTCTGCAGAGGATTGAGTCCAGGTATTGGGTTTCCTCAGCTTCTACTCAATGGCTGTCTGATAAAGGCCACAGTTGCTTGGCCTTAGTTTAGGTACTGACATCTTCACTTTGAGGCATCATTCTTGCCTCTTGGTTGTGTTGTGAAATCTCCCAATGGAATGGACTCGGTTACCAAAAGAAGAAAAGGAAAATGGCTCACCAAGTAGATATTCTTGCCAAGTATAAGATTTCCAAGTTCAGAGTTTTCATCACATATTTGGTTAAGTTTTCAATTTTAGAGTAAAGAATGAGGAACACGTAAGAGGCTTCTATTTTATCCAAACCATTTAGTACTAAACAGAATATATTTTAAAATGATAACTTTGTTAAATTTGTTTTTAACAAATGAGAATATTTTGGGAAATTAAAAAATTAAAAGATTAAGACAGAAATACAGACTACTGTCTATAACAGTTAATTTGCCTTAAAAAGGTTGAAATTACTAATGGTTCGAAATGTGCTTTGAAAGAACTGATCTTGAGAAAAGCCCACTTCTTTAGTTATTTCCATCATTCTTTCCTGGCTTTATCAGAAAGGGAATTGAGCACACAAGTGCTAAGGATCAGTAATCCTGAAACCACAAGAATATAAAAAACCAACAAAGTTAAGTTTCACTCATGGTGCTGAATACTTATTCTGTGAATTTCATATTCTGTGAGAATTTGATATTTTCATAAGATATAATAAATATATTGTTTAAAATTTTCTTATACTGATTATCTTTTCTTTCTGTTTGCTAAAACCTTATTTTAGTTTAGTTTTTTTGTGTGTTTTTTTTTTTTTTTTCAGATGAAAGCCAAAAACTTCTACTGTGGTGCTTATGTTGTCTGATTAATAAAGAACCACAGAATTCTGAAGAATTGAAACTGAACTCCTGGACACGGGTAAGAGAATCTTGTCCTACACTGCTTTGCATTAAATTGATTGTTTAAAGGTGCTGCTTTAGTAGTCCAGTTCTGTGACATTTTAGAAACTTTTTCAAATACGGTCTTCACTGTCCCATTATCTTGCTGGGGATAGTTATTCAAGAGATTTCATTTTTGCTTGATTATGAATTCCAGAAGATAGTGGACTTTAAGGTGAAGTTTCCCTTGCCTAGAAGACCTAACTAATGTTGTGTGATTTTGTAAAGTTACTTTCAGGCAGTTAAAGGAATGTTCTCTCTTTCTTTTAAACAATTCGTATACTTAAAAAAAAATTGTTTTTCCCTACTAACCTAGTTTAAAGACTTACATAATTTCTAAGTACTTCTCTGCATATCTCAGAATTTAATCTGTAGTAATACGAAAATTCAGAAGTACTCTGGGAGCTGCTGCCTTTATTTTATGTCCTGAAGTTGGTATCCAGACCAGGGTGCTCAGACTAGCACCTGGTGCTTTTTGGCTACTGCTGCTTACACTGTCAAATCAGTCACTTGAATGTGCTAGTCCATGTAGCTGACAGCTTCTTACACTCCCCTGTCTGTTTCTGCTTTCTCTTGAAGGGCAGGCACAAGTTGGCGAATGTTGTAGGACTGGGCTGTGGCAGTCCTCACCACTAGCAAGTTGCCTGTTCTTTTCTCATAGCCCGCACTGTCCTGCTGTAATAACCCCAAGGACTCACTAATGCCTGTCAGACTCCACTTAGTATGCATATGGTTCAGATTAGCTGCTTAGTATTATGAAATCACCCACCCAGATTAATGAATATGGTTTTGTCTATCAGTCTGACTGGTGATATCATTCCATTCACTGCTTTTTACTATTCCTTTGTTTCATACAAAATTGCCGACAGAGCTGACAAAAAGTGTTTGTATTTTACTGTTAGATTGAAAGAAGAATTGAAGGGACAGTAGAAATGATAAGGTTTGGATGAGGGAAGGAGAGGGTGCAGACTTTAACTGGAAGGTAAGTTACTGTAAAGAGCTGAAGAAAGAACTGATTTAAGTAGAATTAGGTAAGAAAAGTTGTGGAAAACAAGGCTATATCAACAGAATAACGTATTTCGTCTTTTTTAAATTGTGTTTATACTTGATGTTACAATGATTATTTAGAATATATTTTTGTATTCACTAGCTCAGGGAGTCCTGAAATAGGCTATCTGATAAAGTGTTTTTAGGGCGATTAGGCTAACTTTCTTCATTTAAACTCATGACTTTATTAGCCTATTATAAAATTTCTAGGCTTGCATTTTATTCTGTGGATTTCTCTTATTTAATACTGCATCCATTATCAATAGGTACATATCAAGTATAGCATAGGAAGGTTAAGTTAGACTTAATTCCTGCCATCAGGGAATTCATAGTTAGGTATAGGTGTGATGGTGACACAGAGGACACTTGCTCAGACTTGGAGGTTTAGAGATGTGAGGTTTAGAGATGTGTCCTGCAGGAGGAAAGATATCAGCTGAGTTTTGAAGGATGACTAGGAGAGCAGGGCTAGAGCCTTGGGAAAGGATATTCCTGTCAGCATACAGAGCATGCACAAAGATGGTGGCGAGAAAGCCAATGTCATATTCAGGGAACTACAGGTACTTAGATATGCTGGTGAGGCCCCATGAAGCCTTTTGTATAATAAGTTTTTATTTTATTTTGAAGGCAGTGGGGAAATGAAAGTATTTTAAACAGAAATCATCTGACCAGGTATGAATTTTAGAAGCTTAACAGCAAAAGGAAGTTGATTTGGAAGGGGCAGGGATAGCATTTTGGAAGCAAATGTAGTGATCAAGTGAGAAATCATGCGGCCTTGGATGAAATGGAAAAGAGGGACCAGATTTATAATATGAATGAGGTAAATATTCAAAAGATGTAATGACAGGTTAAGTGCAGATGTGCTTAGGTGTAGGTGGAGTTGAACATACTCTTCTTAGAAGGAGCTGATTTACACTTAGACGGTTGACAGTCTTCAGGGTATGGGAACAGTGGACCCTTGGGTGAGGGTGAGATTGCCCAGGGCAATGGGAAGGGGGAAGGGCCTGGGACAGCCTTGGGAGACACTGGCTTTCAAGGAGTGAGGGGAAGAATAAGCTACACTGCAGGTTAAAAACAGGGAGTCAGAGAAGTAGAAGGAGAGAAACAGCAGTGTTTTGAGAAGCAATGAGTGATTCTTCATATCTGATGCTGTAGTGCAGCAATGTCCAATGCAATAGTTGCTTTAAGAAACTAAATGAAATTAATAATTTTTATGTAACCCATTATATCCAAAATACTAACATTTCAACATATAATCTATAAAAGTTATTAATGAGATTATTTTATAATCTTTTTTCATACTAAGTCACTGAAATCCAGTGTGTATGTTATACTTACATTTTACGTCTACATGTTACATCTTAATTCAGATGCTAAATTTTCACTAGAAGTTTTTGTTTTAATGTTTGTTTATTTATTTTGAGAGAGAGAGTGCGCCAGCACTAGCAAGGAATTTGAATTAGCAAATCAATTGAATCCCATGCAGGCTCCAAGCTCTCTGCACAGAGCCCAACACAGGGCTCGATCCCACCACTGAGAGATATGACCTGAGCAGAAATCAAGAGTCAATGACACTTAACCTACTGAGCCACCCAGGTGCCCCTCACTGGAAATTCTTGATCTGAAATTCTTGAACTGAAGTGTCAGTGTTTAAACTTAAATGTAATTAAAATTTTAAAAATTAAAAACTTACTTTTATCATACTCCCTACATTTGAAGTGCTCAGTAGCTACATGTGACTAGTAGTCAATGTATTGGACAGGGGAGCTTAGAGCATAACACAAGGTAAGGATTGAAGAGCAGGAATGACCTGGGTGGGAATGATTTGAGTGGGAGGTGCAAGAAAGTCGCCAGATTGCTACAGTTTGAGGAATGAAGGTAGTAAGGTGAGGAAGTGGAGGTAATAAACTTTGGCTACTTTTTGAAGAAACTTAGTCCTGGAGGAGGGAGATAGGAGGTGGTAGCCAGGTCAGATAATAGAGTTGACTTTACTGAAATTGAGAAAGTCCCGAATATGCTTTACATAGAAGAGAAAATGCTAGTAGGGAAGAGTTGCAGGCATATGAAATTGTGAAAACAGTTTCCCTCCTCAGTGTATTAGGCATGCCTGTAATATTACCTGATAAAAACATGTACAGTAATAATACTAACTTTTAGCAGTCTAAGGCAAATTGCATACACCTATCACAAATCAGTACCCATATAGTTGTATATTGTTGGCCATAAATGCAGTAAGACAGAAGATGTTTCTTGGTTTATGAATCCGTTGTACTTGTCTTGGATATGCATTTATCTTAGAAGTGATATTTTCTTCCTAAAAGTTTTAGAAGTACATGTTATACATTAAGGTATGTAACTTGTCATCCAGTATCATTCTGAAAGTTATACAAGTCACGTTTTAATAATATTTGTTAGTTCACTCAATGAGCATTTATTTATCTAGTGCCTGCTATGTGCTAAGTAGTTCTAATTGTGATAATAAAATCTTGGGTTTTTCTGTGTTCCTGGAGCATCACAAGTGTAATTGTAACAGCCTAAGTCAAAAAGTATGAATTTCCTCTGTAAATTCTAAAATTTAGTAAAATTCAGATTATTAAAATTGAAAATGTTAGATTGAGTTGTATTTTTAGAGCAGAGATAAAATAAGGGGTGCCTGGCTGGCTTAGCTGCTGGAGCGTGTGACTCTTGATCTTGGGATTGCCCTTTCAAGCCCCATGTTGGGTGTAGAGATTATTTAAAACAATAAAATCTTTTAAGAAGAAAAAAAAAGAACAGAGATGAAATAAAACTTATTTGCTGACCATATGCTAGCACATGTTAATATATTATGTTGGAAATACATTAATACAATGTGTTGTTTTTTTTAAGTTTTACTGGTAACCTCAAATGTACCATCAAATAACTACCTCAGTGGCTATTCTTACAGTTTAGAGACTTATTGAAGTCACAGGACTCTTTCACATCTTTTCAGAATACTTGCTTCTTGTAAAACTTAGTTTTATTGGTGAATCAATTGAACAGATACTTTTTGAACACCTTCTGTTTGTCAGGCTGAGGATATAGTAGTGAGTTTAAAGATAGCCTGTTCTAAGAGTTTATAACCCAAAGGGGAAATCTCCAGGTCTGCCACATTTAGGAGATAACTATCCTCTCTAGGCAAGACCATACCCCTGTAATATTTATTTTGATGAGAAGAAAACAACAGAATACCAGGGGTAGAGGTCAGTTAAAGGGTTTTACTTTGTCTTTATTCCATTTCAAAATGCAGTTTTAAGCAGTATCCAGATGCTACATGTATTGCTTTAGTCTTCTACTTCATTCCTCTTAAATAAAAACAACATAACTTTTAAATTATAAAATCTACACACATGCAGAAAAGTGCATCAAGCATAAATGCCAAGCTTTAAAATCATTGCAAAATAAATACCTTTATAACTACTGGCTAGGTCATGAAATAGAAGATTACCTGCCTCTTAAAAGCTCCCTGCCCCCAGGTGCCCCTTCTTTCTTCTATGCCCCTCTCTCCCTCTGGCAGTAACCGCTAACCTGACTTTTATTTACATTGCTTTATGGTTTTACCACTTAATTATGGAGTTTGGCTTATGATTTTAACTTGATATAAATGAAATAATACACTATATATTGTTCTATGCTTGACTTACTTTATTCAGTATGAGGTTTGTAGGATTCAGCCATGATCTTGGATGTACTTGTCAGTTGTTCATTTTCACTGCTATAGAGTATTCCATTTTATCAGGGTATTTACTACAGGGTATTTATCCATTCTACCTTTGTTGGAAATCTGTTTCTGGTTGAGGAGAATTAGGAACAGAGTTGCTGTAATATTCTCTCTTTTATATCCAAGGTTCAAAACATGTATTTTTTTAATGTTTATTTATTTTTGAGAGAGAGACAGACAGAGCATGAGTGGGGGAG